GATGTTTGTTAAGACCTTAGCTATGGATCCAGTTGGCCCTTACGGCCAAAACGGCCCATTTTAAAGGTCAAACGATCCCCGGAGTAGGTAAAGTCCCATTCTTAATGGATTTTTGGTGATCCGGAATTTTGACCTCATTTTTGTTAAAAATTTTCATGGATGTCCATTAAGATCTTAGTTATGGAGTCAGTTGTCCCTCACGGCCAAAACGGCCTACTTTCATGGTCAAACGATCCCCGAAGCAGGTAAACCCCCCATTTTGCTAATTTTTGTGTGTTATATAGCTAACTATCTTTTTTGGTGATCCAGAATTCCGACCTCATTTTTGCCAAAATTTTTCATGGACATCCGTTAAGACTTAGCTAGGGAGCTAGTTGGCCCTCATGACCAAAACAGCCCATTTCCAAGGTCAAACGAGCTCCAGAGCAGGTAAACCCCCAATTTTGTTCATTTTCTTATGCGTTCACCATCTTGTTTGGTGATTCGGAATTTCGACCTCATTTTTATCAAAAATTTTCATGGTCATCTGTTGAGACTTTAGCTATGGAGCTAGTTGGACCTCACGGCCAAAACAGCTCATTTTCAAGGTCAAACGATCCCCGGAGCAGGCTAACCCCCCATTTTGCCAATTTTCATGTGTTATAGTTCACTATCATTTTTGGTGATCCAGAATTCCGACCTCATTTTTGCCAAAAATTTTAATGGGCATCCGTTAAGACATTAGCTATGGAGCCAGTTGGCCCTCATGGCCAAAACGGCCCATTTTCAAGGTTAATCAAGCCCCGGAGCAGGTAAATCCTCCATTTTGCCGATTTTCGTGGACGTCCATTAAGACCTTAGCTACGGAGCCAGTTGGCCCTCACGGCCAAAACGGCCCATTTTCAAGGTCAAACGAGCTCCGAAGCAAGTAAACCCTATAGAAATGTATTATTCTTTTTGAGATTGACTAAAAAGGAAAATAGGTCACATAGATTGGGACAGAGGGAGTAGTAATTTGAGGCACTGCAAATTGTATAAGGAATTAATGAGATGATCATGACTTGCTAGGCTTCGGCTTCGGTGAATTCTTCAATGGCTTATCAGCAGCAAGACGAGGAGATGAGCAGGATTTTGACCATGGAAACCAACTTCCTACAAAAGAAGATATATCATCTTTTCTTATCACAGCTTTTTTACTCAACTTACATGCATGTTCATACAACTTTTTGGTGATTCGAGAATATCTTCTGCTAAACAATATCAGTTGATCTTTGTGGAAAAAATTGTCTCACCAAAACCATGTCTGTGTACAAGAACAATTTTGAAGTCATACTAATAATTTGAATCTCCAAATTTCAATTATGCCACATAAATCGGATGGAGGAAGGGAGTATCTTTTAGTACTCCAATTAAAGAAGGTTGAAAGAAGCAAGTTAAAGTAAAAATAACACACATTTCTTTCACCTCAAAAGGAAAAATTAAGTGACGCCATTTTACATGGCATCCATGCACATAAATGACTCGACCCTACAAACAGTCTGTAATATTCAATCTACCTTTGCAAACCATGAGACTGAATATCAAATGTAATTCACTCAAAATATATATATATATACACTTTAATCAATGATTACAGACCTCTGCCGCTACTACTACTGGATCTAAACCCACCACCCACCACCACTTCGACGACCTATAATATTCAAAAGAAGAAATTTGAAAACAAAAACTAGCTGTAAAAATGGCAGACTCAAGTTGAAGGGCTTGGGTTTATATAAGGAGTGGGGTTGGAGTAACTTGAGGAACAAAATGGATTCTATTGGCCAACATGTGGTGGAATTTTTCTTCCGCGACACTCATATTTTAGTTTTTTTAGGGGGGGTGGGTGAGGGGGGGTCGAGGGTAGGGGTGAAGAATTGAAATTTTGAAGTTGAAATATTTTTTAAAAACAATCTTAAATTTTTTTTGGGGAGTGGGAGGCTGGTAGGGGTGGGTGGGTAGGAGGTGGGTGGGGGGAGGGCTTGGTAGGAGGTGGGTGAGGGTGGGGGGTCAAGGGTAGGGTGAAAAAATGAAAATTCGAAGTTGAAAATATTTTTATATACAAACTTAAAAAAATTTCTTTTTGAAGGGGGTTGGGGTATGATAGGGGGCGAGGGTAGTGGGTGGGGGTAAAAAAATAAAAAATTGAAATTAGAAATATCTTTTAAAAACAATTTTTAATATTTTTTTTGGGAGGGGGTGGGGTAAAAAATTGAATTTAAAAACAAGCTGTAAAAAAAAAAAATTTTTTGGGAGGAGGGGTGATTGGAGGGCTGGTAATTTGAAGTTGGAAGAGAGTTTTGGAAAAAAAATTCCTTAGGTTTTTAAGGGAAGTCATTTACCTTCAATTTGAAGAAAATGAGTTGATTTGGAAAACATTTAACCCAACCAAACATGAGAAAATTGGAAAATATTTTCCGAAAAATGTTTTCGTTCATACCAAACACACCCTAAATGTCATATATATTTCTAATATATCCAAGATACTCCTGCAATCCAAATAGATACCTACAAAAGTCTAAACTGATCAAAATAAAAAAAATAGATGATATTTCGTCCATTTCATTTTATGTGACACTATTTGATTTGGATTTAAAATGAGAAGGAAGACTATTGAAACTTATGGTCTAAAACAATCCTTAGAAATTTGTATAGTTATAAAACATTTCATTGGATGTAAAAAAAGAAATTTTGAAACTAAATTATTTTTAATTATAGTAAGGTAACATTCTGTAGAAGTTTATGTGGTCAAGTTTTTTCTTTTTGACTATATTAGTTCAATTCTTTTCATTCGATTTCTGATCATTTAAGAAGAAGGAAAATAGGGCCAAAATTAGGAGTATATATCTAATATGTTGGACTGATTTTATTTGTTGTCTTTTCATACCAACTGAATGGATATAGAGATTCATATGGTAATTCTCAACTACGAGATTTCAGTGTATTTTATTCTTGTGCATAACTTCATAATATTTTGCTAGATATCATATAAATGCTTCTGAAATTTTAAAAAAAATCTGCTTACATACCGAACACAAAAAGTAAGTACGAAACACACTTATTTTTCAAGAAAATGTCATTATACATGGAAGACATTTTCCTTGGCACCAAACACACCCTCTAGAGTTTCTTTGGCTTTAGGCTCAACAACATTAACTTTTTCCTTTTCAACTTGCCTATTGTGCACTCACGAAACAGTAATCATTTGTTTGAACATTGGAACAGAAACGAGAAAACATAGTAATCACACAGTTGAAAAACTACAACTCTGTCAACACAACTCAAAGTTTTCAACACAAATTTGGTCAGCATAGCTACGCATAAAAACATTTTCACCTTCTGCATGCATTCAACTCAAGATACATAGATATAATATTGCTAAATCAACACCCATTGTCACAAATCTGACTCTGAACTCACAAGAAGGTGACCTAAACATCAAGTTCTCGAGCCTTACACAATTTAGCCTTCTCACCGTGTTCCTATACTTCCATCCACTCTCTCAAGTCTCATCAAACACAGCAAATTTACCAACTCCAACCTCTCAGGGTGTCGAAGTTATCAATTTTGCAATAAACATCTTCTTATCTTAGAACAAAATAAGTGAATTCAATACATCAAACTGGAGACAGACCATCACTTTACAGAACACAATTTGCAATTGTCATGCTCGCATGTCTGAAGTAGACATTGCAAACTGTTATATTACAGCGATATTCAAGCCTAGACTCGATAAGCCAACTGCATTAATAAATTCTGACGGCAACTAACCAGAAGTGCACTACAACAATAGCAAAGACTTGGTAGCCACTATAACAATAGCAAAGGCTGGAAAATGTCCTCGGCTATATTGAATCATCAGAATCCTCAGACTCAGTTCTATCAGGATCCTCACCAGCTGTCCCGGGCTCGGAAATGTCAGGCTTTGTTGCAGGTTGTGCCACTTTCTTGTTCACATGGCGTGCACTTGCTTCACCTCCTTCCACTTGCTCAACAACTTCTATATGTAATCGATTAGTTAAGGAGTAACAGAAATGAGAAAGATGAAATTTAGCAAGTCCTCTACGATGATATTGAAGTTCTAATATATACTTACAGAACGTGAACTTGTTCTTGTTTACAAGGGCCTATGCAAACAGAATCTCAGGAAATTTTCTGAAAGCTCAAAGCATTAAAGTTTCCCTGACATTACCACGAACCTCTTCCTGGTAAATGGTCAAACAGAAATTTTCACAAGTTTTTTCACCAGCAAAAGCTGTCCAACTGATTGTCGTCTACAAGCTAAAAAATGTCAACTCACCAACAGCATATCTAGGATTCGTTAAAACTCACAATTCTAATTTGTCAGAATATAGCCTATATAAACATTTAAAATAAGTGTATTTAGCTACTTCCATTCACGTATATTGACCACGTGTCATTCTATTTAAACTAGAGGAGAAAGCAAATATGAAAGGATATCAATATTCTCAGCTGTTCCACCAGACATTATGTTCTGCAAGTCTTTATCAACACGCCGAACAAGCTCAGGCTGCCAAAAGTATGACAGGCACATTGTAAGTACAAGGATACATACCAGAAAAAAAAGGGTGATATATAAAACTAGAAAAGGGCGGATCAAGGGATAAGGAGAGCTCCACTATATTTACGAACAGATTTTATTCCAATTCATTTATCGGCAGAGAAGCAGATAAACTGAGAAGCTTCAGGTAGAATAAGCCCCTATTTGCTTTCACACACATACCCCAAACCCTCCAAAAAAACAAAAAAAAAAAAAGACATACCCCCATTCCACATAGTAGACAGCCCACCCCTGACATTCTCTCTATCAGGACAAACTAGAAAGTAAATAAATGAGAGTTTTTCTCAGGAAAGTAAGATTGTTACATTAAGATCTGGCTCTCTCCGAAATCTTCGTCTTCGTGCATCTCTCATTGGAGGTGTGAGGCCATGTCTATATTCCACCACATCTGGAACAGGATCCCCTTCTTCTCTCACCATAATCATCTGTCAGATCAACAAAGTTTACATAATCATGTTCATATAACTGAAGGGAAAAAGAAAGATTAATCCCAACCCTACTTGACCAATGTCTGCGGATTTAATGAGCACGTTGTCATCATAAGTTTTGTATGACTCCACTATGCAAGGAAGATTCAAAAGTGATGCAGGAAAGTGCTCGTCGCCTATGACAAAACTGCCCGTCTTTCCATCCTCTGAAAAGAACAAGACATTTTTAAAACGCACATACATGAACTATGATAAGATGCTTAAGAGATAAGTACTACAACAACAACATAGACATATAATTCCACAAGCGGGGAGGGCTTGGAAGGGTAGAGTGTACGCAGACCTTACCCCTACCTTGGGAGGTAGAGAGGTTGTTTTCGATAGACCCTCAGCTCACGGAAAAGCATATCAAAGCAGATCAAACAAGAAATAATCAGAAGTTAATAATTCATCGAAAAATACAATAAAAAGCATGGCAAAGCATTCCCAAAAAACAGTAACTACAACAAAATAGTGCATAATCAAAGTACAAGAGACAGTAGAGAGTAACAGATGACTATATATCTTCATCTACAAAGTTCAAGAACATGATGCAATGGTTGGCATTTGAGTCACATTTGAGTCGCAAGTCAGATATCACGGTTAATCTCGTAGGATAGTCGGGTATTAAATAAATTATAAAAAAGATCCAGAAAATCTGGTACTTTACCCCAACTAGCACCAAGTAATTTGTGGACATTGACAAGTCTCTGGAGCTAATTCTTAGTTGTTGGTACATGAAACCTTATACTAATTGTCTCAATGCAACTTGTGAATAAGAACTATTCCAGTAGGATTAAAGATTGTAGCAGTGCTTCTTAATTCTTGGTTTTTATTTTTATTAAAGTTTCTTCATAGTCTACCTATAAATGAGAAAAATTAAAAGGCTCCAGCTCTAAATCAATAACCTGATATGAGATCATCTATCTTTAGATTGACGGAGTGACTAGTCTCCCAATACCCCAAACTAAAAACAGAAGATCAGAACCTACCCTACTGTACATACAGTGAGATTCATGCTGCGAAGGAGGAGTAATCAATGAATAACTGTCTTCCAAACTCTTTCACCATTTCAAAAGGATTTGTGTATTCCTCTCCGAAAGGAAGAAAGCAAGAGAACATTACAGCATAGAATACCTATGTCTTACTCCAACTCATTAAGACACACCACAGATATACTTGCACAATCAGCAAGCTATAGATTAAAACAAAAGAAATCAGACAGTACGAGATATGTATGTATATATATCCACACACGCACATCAATTGTGCTTAATATCAATAACTCAGAGTCTCAGACCACAATGTTTTCACTTATTAGCATATGAAAAAAAGACGTAGGTATGGCAGGGCACAATGGGGAAAAAATTCATGCCTTAGAAATCAGATGAGGCCATGTAACTTGTGGACACCAAAGGTTATTAACTTACAAATTCAATCAAAACGACAGTAGAATAAACTATGCTCTATTGACAACTTCACACCCCCCATTATTTTGGAACTTCTTATGGGTATTCCAGATAACCTCGGAGAATAAAAGTTGTTTGGAAAACCATTCAGTCTATATTCAATCATTTACATCTCAATCCCAAATCAATTAGAGTCGGATGAATCTTCTATGTATTTTCCCCTCTATTCAAGTAAACTTCATTCCAGTACTAAATACTTAACCTTTTTCAGACGAATCATAGATTCTCTAAAACCCAAAGGTTCTCTAAATCAGAAGCAGTATAGGGAATCGGAAGAACTGCCGGGAAAGGAGGGGGGGGGGAGTAAAAAGGTTCAGCCCTCACGGAGGTGGCCTAGTGATCAATGAAGTGGGTTGTGAACCATGAGGTCCTAGGTTCAACAGGCAAAAGCACTAATGATTTCTTCCCATCTATCCAAATTTTGGTGGAAAGAGTTACCTAGTACTTGCACGGTGGGAGGTAGCAAGTACTTGTGGAATTAGTTGAAGTGTACACAGGTTGGCTCGAACACCACGGTTATCACAAAAATGATAATAAAAGGTTCAAGGAATGACAATACGAACACATGAGAAGCGAAATATGGAAGGACTATGGTTTCCTTTTTTAATAGATGATACAAAGTTACTATTATCAAAAAAAAAAATAGATGATACAAGAGTATTATAGATGTGAAACAACATAAAAGGAATGTTGGTGTGAAGTAGGACTAATTTAAATCTAAAAGAGTAAATGCCAACATGTCAAATAATTGTGTCAAAAATTATAAAAATAATAGCAAAAAACACACTGGAAAGGTCACGTTTTTGCGAGTTTTCTACCTGAATTGTCTGGTATTCACTTTTCCTACCTAAACCATCACCTACTACTTACCAAAACACACCTCAACTATTAGTTGTTTCCTTTTCTTACCTTAACAATGGTCATATTTCAAGTAATAAAAGGGAACAATGAACACCTGATAGTTCAGGTATAAAACTCACAAAAACATGATAGTTCAATATATTCTTGACCATTAACTTAAAACTATAAGCTCCTGCACAACAATACTTAGAACTCCAAAAGAAAAAGAAAAAGTTACCAGAAAAAGACAAGTCCAGTTTGTCTTCTGAAGAAGAATTTTCACTTAAAAGACGATCAATTCGCTCAGCAACAGAAGGTGGAACCCTCAGAATAAATTGTTCATCCATGGCTGCATAAATTAAGAAGAAAAATTGAATCTTTGACCAAACAAATTAACTTCAGAAACAGCCTAAAACTTAATTTTCTACTTTCAATATAGTAACCCTTTTGACATCACTATCTTCTCCACAAGTATCATTAAAGAATCATACAATTTTCAAACAAGTAATTTCTACTCTACTTTGAATAAAGAATCAAAATTTTGAGAAATAGATCAAACAATTCCTTCTCTTTAACAGAGTAAATTGATAGAATTCTCACCACAAAATAGATCAATCAAATGTTTTAGGATTGTTAGTTTTATTTTGAGCTTGATGGTGTAATTCTCCGATACTAATGCAAGGAATAGAAATTTGCTTATTCTCTCCATCAGGGTTTCAAGAAAAATGAGAGAATGAAGAAAGATTTTAATAGAAGAGTCTCGAATTTATGCAAATTGAGATACTAATAATAATTATTTTTTATGATTTTGGTGGTAAAGTGAAAAATAATTTTAAAAAATAATATTATATTAAAATATTAATAATAATATTAGCAAATTTGATTTAAAAATAATAATAATAATAGTTTTTTGCCTTATGTCTTAGCTCTTTAAAACGAGTTACTTTATATCTAGGCTCAAATACAAAAAAAATAGCTAAAAATAAAGGAGTATTTATTATTGAAAATCGAGGGTATGAATTGTGCAGATTCAATATGAAAATTTTGATTTGAATATTTTGATTTACAAATTGAAAAAAACTACGATTAAAATAATCTTGAATTGTATAGGATTCAATTTTGGATTAATTGTTGTGTTTAGTGTGGTATTTGGAAATTTTGATTTTGATTTTTGAGCCTTTAAGATTAATCATAAAAATTAACGGTCTCAGTTAATCTAATACTCCTTCTATTCCATATTAACACTTTGTTTTGATAGTTGTTACGTATTGTTTCATAATGTATCGTATTGTATTGTATTGTGGGACAATGCACACCTATTAAGAAAAATATTTAAGGACATAAATTAAACCACATTTTCCACCATTGTTTTTTTGTGAATCGTAGATATAACTTTGTAAATAGTATAATTTATCTCGTAGAAAATATAAAACTTGATTAAAGGGAAGGACAAATATAGAAAATAATTCAAACATTTGTCTTGAACTTTAAACAAATCAATTATTTTGAACAATAACTCAAAAATTCACTTAATATAGAATAAAGACAGTAGTTTATTTTTTATCATATATAACTTTCTACAATTATTCAGTTAACAAGGATTGAGGTCATTGTACCGCTTATATCATATAGTTTCATATTATTAAACTTATACTGTAACGAGTAGAATTATAGGATACTAATTTATTGGATTTTTTTAAAATGAACTTATTACTATCATTTAGCGCAAATGATATGGATAAAGCGAAAAATAAGACATGGAATTTTGAATTTTCAGAAATCCTAATATCCATGGTGTTGGATTCAATATTTAATCAAAATCTATAAAATTCAAAATTCAATCCCTAATTTAATTCAAAAAAATTAATTTTTGAATTTGCCCAACTTATGCCTACACACTGCTTATCACTCCGCTAATTAGATTTTCTATTATAAATAGGTAAAAATCATTTACCAAAAATTAATTCATTGAAACTTATACTCCTTAAGAACAAAAATATTTTCTAGAAAGAATAATTCAAAAAAAAAAATTATCTTACCAAACCTGCCATCCAAACTAAGCTCCTCTTTGGCCATAGATTTTATTGTTGAAATATGATACTTGAAAGTTTGAGTTTATGATTGTGATTTTAGATTTTAAAGTTTTGTGCGTGAAAGTCCTAAGAACCTAAAAATGGTCTGAGATAGTTCTTATGATCTTGAAATTATTTAAAGGTTAGATTTTTAAAATCTGGTCAAATTTTATAGTCAAACAAATTTTTTAAGTCAAATCTTTAAAATTTTATTCAAAATCTAGTCAAATATGAATATATGTACTTGTTAGTTGTTAGGAGGTTGCTGTACTTACATTATTATACTGTCCATAGAACTTGGGGTACTGGAATAATAAAAACCAAGCATAGAAATTGGTTTTTAAAACTTAATGTTGGTTGCAACTCAATTAGTATGTGTCTCTCAGGATTTGGTCCATAGCCGTACTTTATAAGTGAAATCGCAACAAGAATGAAATCACAATTTTCAGGCAATTTCTCAAATAGGCCATATACTGCTGGTATAATGTTCATTTCATGAGCAAATATTAGTTTCAACAGTTGTGATGTAATCCAAACAAAATTTTAGTTGTCTTATCCCATTATAGATGTGAAGACACGATTATCAAGTTAGAAATATTTTTCCCAAGGTAATGAATTGATGAGTCTGACTGTTCTTTTGGCACCTTTTATTGGTCAGGTTGTGATGGAGCACCGTTGCTACCCCTTCTTACATATTTACAAATATTGCTTTCAACATATCAGCTCTCAATCTTATGAAGATTTCATCTACTGTAATTTCATCCCTTGGTGTGATGTCATCAGGTTCTCTCTCGCTCTCTTGCAGACACTCTGCACACAATGCTTAGAGGTGTCGATTACATTTGAATTTTATGTAGTCCTATGGCCAACCAGGTTCTTTTTCCTCTTTTCTTATGTAGTGCCTTTGTCAATGTATCTTCTCTCCATGCCACTGCCATATTTCCCACAAGGTTCAAGTTTGAGCCCTTTTTTCCTTCTCGGCAGTGTTGTCCTTCTCATTGGTCTTTTCCTATATAACATTCCACGGACTCAAAAGCAAGACACAGAATTGTGACTCATTTGAATCATTGCAACTAAATCATTCCATACCCTCGACTTCCAATAATAAATACTCCTTTATTTTTAACTATTTTTTTTTGTATTTGAGCCTAGATATAAAGTAACTAGTTTTAAAGAGCTGAGACATAAGGCAAAAAACTATTATTATTATTATTAAATCAAATTTGCTAATATTATTATTAATATTTTAATTATAATATTATTTTTTAAAAATATTTTTCACTTTACCACCAAAATCATAAAAAATAATTATTATTAGTATCTCAATTTGCATAAATTCGAGACTCTTCCATTAAAATCTCTCTTCATTCTCTCATTTTTCTCGAAACCCTGACGGAGAGAATAAGCAAATTTCTATTCCTTGAATTAGTATCGGAGAATTACACCATCAAGCTCAAAATAAAACTAACAATCCTAAAACATTTTGATTGATCTATTTTGTGGTGAGAATTCTATCAATTTACTCTGTTAAAGAGAAGGAATTGTTTGATCCATTTCTCAAAATTTTGATTCTTTATTCAAAGTAGAGTAGAAATTACTCATTTGAAAATTGTATGATTCTTGAATAATACTTGTGAAGAAATAGTGATGTCAAAAGGGTTACTATATTGAAAGTAGAAAATTAAGTTTTAGGGTGTTTCTGAAGTTAATTTGTTTGGTCAAAGATTTAGTTTTTCTTCTTAATTTATGCAGCAATGGATGAGCAATTTATTCTGAGGGTTCCACCTTCTATTGCTGAGCGAATTGACCGTCTTTTAAGTGAAAATTCTTCTTCAGAAGACAAACTGGACTTGTCTTTTTCTGGTAACTTTTTCTTTTTCTTTTGGAGTTCTAAGTATTGTTGTGCAGGAGTTTATAGTTTTAAGTTAATGGTCAAAAATACATTGAACTATCATATTTTTGTGAGTTTTATACCTGAACTATCAGGTGTTCATTGTTCCTTTTTATTACTTGAAATATGACCATTGTTAAGGTAGGAAAAGGAAACAACTAATAGTTGAGGTGTGTTTTGGTAAGTAGTTGGTGATGGTTTAGATAGGAAAAGTGAATACTGGACAGTTCAGGTAGAAAACTCGCAAAAACGTGACATTTCAAGTGTGTTTTTTGCAATTATTTTTATAATTTTTGACACAATTATTTGACATGTTGGCATTTACTCTTTTAGATTTAAATTAGTCCTATTTCACACCAACATTCCTTTTATGTTGCTTCACATCTATAATACTCTTGCATCATCTATTAAAAAAGGAAACCATAGTCCTTCCATAATTCACTTCCCATGTGTTCGTATTGTCATTCCTTGAACCTTTTATTATTATTTTTGTGATAACCATGGTGTTCGAGCCAACCTGTGTACACTTCAACTAATTCCACAAGTACTTGCTACCTCCCACCGTGCAAGTACTAGGTAACTCTTTCCACCAAAATTTGGACAGATGGGAAGAAATCATTAGTGTTTTTGCATGTTGAACCTAGGACCTCATGGTTCACAACCCACTTCATTGTTCACTAGACCACCTCCGTGAGGGCTAAACCTTTTTAAATATAAAAATAAACAATACCGACCTCCAGAGGTCGGAATATTAAAAGTAAAAAAATATAAAATATAAAATACTGACCTCCAACGGTCAAAATTTAAAAATAAGGAAAATAAAAATTAAAGCAAACATTGAACAGTTCTAAATTTCTACCGAATGGTAAGAAGGTCGAATTTTCATAATATCATATTTCAAGCACCCAAGATTCACTACTAAAAAAACAGTGAATACCGACTTTCGAAAGTCAGTATTCCCTGAAATATCGACCAAATATTGACTTTCCAACTTAGGTCGGAAAAAGCTTGGTCGCTTTCAATACCAACCTCTGGAGGTCGGTATTTACTGACCTTTCAAGGTTGGTTTTAATTTTAAGTCGGAAAATTCATTATTTTATTTTTTGACTTCTTGAGGTCACTTTTATATATTTGTTTATTTTATTTTTATTATTTCCATCTTCTGGATGTCAAAATATTTATTTCTTATATTTTGAAATACCAACATTCAGCGGCCGGTATTAATTAATTTTTAATCTTTAAAAAATTAATTTTAATATTTCTGACCTCTGAAAGTCCGTATATTTTAATTTTTATTTTCCTTAATTTTTAAATTTCGACCGTTGGAGGTCGATATTTTATATTTTATATTTTTTTACTTTTAATATTCCTACCTCTGGAGGTCGGTATTGTTTATTTTTTATTTTATTTATTTTTTATATTCCGCCCTCCAGAGGTCGGTATCGTTTATTTTTTGTTTTATTAGCAAGTTGCTGCAATTTTAGTTATCCACCTGCATATTTCTACCAAAACAGCCCAAAGAGTTGCCAACACAATATTTTTCAACATATACATTAATCTTCTTCAAAATAAACTTCATCCAACTTCAAAATAAACTAAATCCAACTTCAAAATCAACTAAACGACATTATTTATTTTAACTTATTTAAACAACATAACAACTTTTGAACTTTAACTACATTAGTTTTGACTTAATTCCAACAACTAAATCCACCAACTAAACATGTGTATTTTATTTTAACTTATTTAAACAACTTAACAACTTTTTAACTTTAACTACATTAGTTTTGACTTAATTCCAACAACTAAATCAACCAACTAAACCACACTATAATTTATTGGAACTTATTTCAACAACTAAACAACTTTAACTCTAACTAGTTTTGACTTAATTCCATCAACTAAATCCACCAACTAAACCACATTATTTATTTGAACTTATTTAACAACTAAACAATATTAACTCTTAACTAGTTTTGAATTAATTCCACTAACTAAACCAAATTATTTATTTGAACTTATTTAAACAAC